AGGCTGAGGTGGGAGGATCACTTGAGCCCAGGGGGCTGAGGCTGCACTGAGCAATGTTCGTGCTGACCTGGGTGACAGTGAGACTCCATCTTAATATAAAGTAAAATAAAATCAATATAAAATGTAATTGCTAACATAAGAAACTCAGTAGATGGATTCGACATCAGAAGAGGGAACTAGTTGATTAGACGATTATCTCCAAAAACATAAGGCAGAATGTTACACAGAGACAATGAGGGTAGATGACAGGGCGGAAGTGGGGAAAGAGGTCAGAATGAGGTCTAAAATATGTCTCAGTGGACCCAGGAGGAAATATTAAAATCGTATTAGAAAGTGAGAGAAAGGCCGGGCATGGTAGCTCACGCCTGTAGTGCCAGCACTTTCAGAGGCTGAGGCAGGTGGATCACTTGAGGCCAGGAGTTGGAGACTAGCCCGTCCAACATGGTGAAACCCTATCTCTACTAAAAATACAAAAATTAGATGGGCGAGATGGCGGGCGCCTGTAATTCCAGCTACTGGGGAGGCTGAGGCATGAGAATTGCTTGAACCTGGGAGGTGGAGTTTGCAGTGAGCCGAGATCACCACTGCACTCCAGCTTGGGTGACAAGAGTGAAGCTCCATCTCAAAACCAGACAAAAAAACAAAGCGAGAGAAATGGAAGTTCTTAAGGTATAGGAGCTCTAAAAGTCATAGAAGCAGTCCACATAAATCAATCACAACAAATGTAAATGGACTAAAGTTAGACTGATTGAATTGATAAAATCCATCATATATAAAGTATGAGGATACGAAAAGATGGAAAGTTTTTATCAAGGAGAGAGCTTGATAAAGATATGCCAGTATGCATTAAGCAAAAACAAGGGATGTAGCCAGGCACGGTGGCTCACGCCTGTAATCCCAGGACTTTGGTATGCTGAGGCAGATCACTTGAGGTCAGGAGTTTGAGTCCGGCCTAACTAACATGGTGAAACCTCGTCTCTACTAAAAGTACAGATATTAGCTGGGCATGGTGGCATGTGCCTGGAATCTCAATTACTGGGGAGGCTGAGGCAGGAGACTCCCTTGAACCCGGGAGGGGCAGGTTGCATTCAGCCGAGATCACACCACTGCACTCCAGGCTAAGCAACAGAGCAAGACTCCATCTCAAACAAACAACTGATGTAGCTTTCTTATCAAAGAGAACAGGCTTTTGAAACAGTGTCTGTAGCATGCATCTGTCCTCGAGGGAAAGCAGGGACAGTGGCTCGTAACAGTGGGCTGTCCCCTGTTGTTAAAGAAGAACATACAAGAAATTCGTAATAGTGGCTAACTTTGTGGAGGAAGGGGGACGAATAGGAGGAAACTTGGTGGTTAGGGGACAAGTGGGGCGAGTTTGTGCTTGGAATATAGACATTCCTGAGTGTTGTGCTGTGTGAATTTATTACGCAAAAAGCAAATCTGGGACCTAGTAGATAGATGTGCACCGCTACGGAGAATGCCGATGGTGTATTAATTGGAAGTTAATAGGTTGGTTGTACCTATGGGGTAAAAATTAATCCTAGATTTGGCTTCTTAGAAAGATTGTATATTTTTACTAGAAGAGGACTCCTTTAGTAAATGGCTTGGTGCCAGTTATGGGCATTCTTTAGATTTCTAACTTAAAATGTCATTCATATGTGTAGTTGTGGAAGCTTAATATTTTCTCATCTGCAAGTAATATTTTATAGGGTTTTATTTTGGGCATATTTTCATGGCAGAAATATATCCTGACATTCTGAGTTTTAATAATTGGATGTATATTTAGTGAATCATTGCCACCCCAGAGGTGAATTTGTTTCTATGTACATTTATTGGACCTGAGCGAGTATTACTGGAATGAATCCATAGAAGAATTTCTGGAGGGAAATCATATGAAACAGCTTTAGGATTTTAATAGAAATGTTCAAATCATCCTGTAGGAAAATTGGTTCAATTGATCCCCAGCAGGGACAGAACTCCAGGTTCCCCTATTCATTTGTCCTCTTTGCCGGTTTTTAAGCAGAACATTTCATTGTTTTCATCACATTTCTTTGATTTCTAGTGGTTTTGAATCTTTTTCATATGACTCTTTGGCCATTTATATTATTGTGGGAAGTGCCTATTTCTCTGTTGCTTATTTTCTGTTGGAAATATTTCATTCTTTTCTGAGAAATTTTAAAGATTTCTTTATAGGCTAAGGATAGAAACCCTTTATCTGTCACTGAAGTTACAAAGACTTTCTCCCAATAAGTAATTTCTCATTTCGCTCTATTTTTTTCTTGACTGATTTTGCTAGCCAAACACCAAAGTCACGTTTCACTTAATTTTTATCCTGCTGACTGAAAGTGTTTTCACTTAGTGATTTTAGTGGAGCAGGACAGAATGTAATTCTGTAGGTTTGGCTCTGTCACCCCGACTGGAGTGCAGTGGCATGGTTGTAGCTACTGCAGCCTCACACTCCTGGGCTCAAGTGATTTTTCCCACCTCAGCCTCCCAAAGTAGCTAGGACTACAGATGTGTGCTGCCACGCCCAGCTAATTTAAAAAAAATTTGTATAGAGATGTGAATTCTCTATGCTGCCCAGGCTGGTCTTGAACTCCTGACTTCAGGTAATCCTTGGCTCGCCAATGTGCTGGGATTACAGGTGTGAACTACTGCTCTCAGCCAAGAGCTTACTGTTGTTTGCTAGTGGTGTTCTTGGTATCTTTTTCTATTTGAGGTCTTGGTGCTAGTACTGACGTATTCCACTCACCATCTGAGGTTTACAGGACTTTTGTTTGAATATTGAACAGATGGAACTGTTTAGTTCTGGATCTTTGCAGGTATACAAAATGTGCCTACCAGGACTCTGCTTTATAACCCTTGAAAAGCAGGAAGCAATGCAGTAAAACTTTGCCTGGCTAGAGGCTTTGGAAGAATGGTGTATTCTGGTTTAATGCTTCTAACCTGGAAGCATGAAGGTGATAAAAATTCAAAACGTTAATTTCCCGTTGAATGCAGTGTGAAAATATAGGCAATGATTCCACTTTTCTTCTCTAGTAAGTTTGGACATTCAGATGTACTTGGTCTTCTGTGATAGAACTCCTAGTGTGCCTGAGTCTTCCATTGTCAAGACCCTTTCCTAAAACTTTAGATGTAAGAGTGTATAATGATATTCAGTGAGATCAGGCTGGATGAGAATTTACACCTGTAAATACACTTTTTAGACAAAATCGCTGATTGCTACTCATTTTCTTATTTTATTCATACAAATAAAACACACTGGCTAGAGGGTGGGAGTAGGAAGGAGATTTCTGTCTTTTGATTTTGTGTCATTGTTTCATACCGAGACAGAACATACAGTATCCCTGGCTTTGGACCTACAGAAGGAAAGACCTTTTTCTACCTGCTGTATGCCAGCAGTTCCTGAACACCTGGAGTGCTTATTGCAGCACAGACTTCTGGGCCCTACTTTAGAGTTTGTGATTCATCAGGTCTAGGGTGAGGCCTGAGAATGTGCATTTATAAGAAGTTCCCAGATGCTGCTGGTGCTGGTCTACATTTTTGAGACTCACTCTTATATCCTAGCTGTAAATTGTAGAACTCTAGAAAAAAGCTTAGTTTGGTCTGGGATAAAAGCTTATCCCAGGTAATGGAGCAAACCATGAAAAAGTCAACCCTTGATGCCAGCCTAATGTGGAATTCAGGTAACAGGCCATATACAGTGACTTAACGCAGTTCTTGATTTTCATGATTGCAAGTCATAGCCCAGTATCAAGTGAGAAATTCAGTTTATTCACAGGACTTGGAGAGGCCAGATGATTCTAGAAAAATAGGATTTAGTGATTAACCTTGTGGGAGTAGGAGTTATTTATGTCCTTTTTCTCTCCCCCATCACTTAGCATTCAGCCTTACTTTAGGAGGGTCTTGTATTTGTTTTAAACTGGTAAAGAGCTTTGAATGCTTATTACGTCGAAAGCTTTGTGTATTTATTTATTTATTTATTTATTTATTTATTTATTTATTTATTTTGAGACAGAGTCTCATTCTGTTGCCCAGGCTGAAGTGCAGTGGCACGATTTTGGCTCACTGCAACCTCCACTTCTTGGGTTCAAGCAGTTCTCCTGCCTCAGTCTCCCAAGCAGCTGGGATTACAGGCTCACGCCACCATGCCCAGCTAGTTTTCGTATTTTTAGTAGAGACAGGGTTTCATCATATTGGCCAGGCTGCTCTTGAACTCCTGACCGCAGGTGATCCACACACCTCAGCCTCCCAAAGTGCTGGGATTACAGGCATGAGCCACCATGCCCAACTCAAAAGCTTTGTGTTTTTAAAGATGTTAGACGTGTTTTTTTTTTCCTTTTCTTTTTTTTTTTTTTTTTAGACAGAGTCTTGCTCTGTCACTAGGCCCCAGGCCGGGGTTCAGTGGCGCAATCTCAGCTCACTGCAACTTCCGCCTCCCGGGTTCAGGCATTTCTCCTGCCTCAGCCTCCCGAGTAGCTGGGACTACAGGTGTGTGCCACCATGCCCAGCAAATTTTTGTATTTAGGTAGAGACGGGGTTTCACCATGTTGGCCAGGATGATCTCGATCTCTTGACCTCATGATTCTCCCACCTCAACCTCCCAAAGAGCTGGGATTACAGATGTAAGCCACCGGGCCCCACAGCCGTGTATCTTTTAAAAAAAAAAATTTTTTTTTTTAATGTAGGAGACTAAAAGAAACTTTTCCAAAAGAAAAAAAAAAAACCATTGTGATTATTTCATCTCTTGGAATGTTGGATAATACAGTCTGGTCATCGTCAAGCATGCTATAGATTTGAGATAATGAAGTTTTAAAGTTTTTCAAGTGAAACCCAGCCCTGCCCCTCTCCTGGAGTGGGCGGGGGCAGCTGGTGCATGGGCAGCCTTCATTGTGACACCACAGGTCGGACCCTCATGACACACCACTGCCTGGTCATGCCTCCATCCCCTTTTGTCTTTCTCATTGACCAATGAGCTTGAGGCATTCAGGCCACACCCCTATTCTGGGTCCTAGTGAGGCCCTGGTTACACGTCCTCAGCCTCAGCCACACAGCTGCGTGGTAGGTGACAGGACGTATCTCACTGTCCTCTTCTGTGTCACGATGATGTGGCCCCAACCCCAAGTCCCTCCGCAACCCTACGTCCCTCCCCAATCCTACATCCCTCCCCAATCCTACATCCCTCCCCAAGCTCAAGTCCCTCCCCAACCCCACGTCCCTCCCCAACCCTACGTCCTTCCCCAACCCTACGCCCCTCCCCAAGCTCATGTCCCTCCCCAACCCTACGTACCTTCCCAAGCCCACGTCCCTCCCCAACCCTACATACCTCCCCAAGCCCACGTCCCACCCCAAGGCCAGGTTGCTTTCCAACCCTACGTCCCTCCCCCACCTTACGTCCCTCCCCGACCCTACATCCCTCCCCAAGCCCACGTCTCTCCCCAACCCTTCGTCCCTCCCCAAGCCCACGTCCCTCCCGAACCCCACGTCCCTCCCCAACCCCTCGTCCGTCCCATCGCCCGCGTCCGTCCCGTAGCCCGCGTCCCTCCGCAACCCCGCGTCCCTCCCCAATCCCACATCCGTCCCTAAACCCACTTCCCTCCCCAATCCCAGATCCCACGTCCCTCCCCAACCCCACGTCCCTCCCCAGCCCGAGATGTCCAAAGCAACCAGAGAGCTCAAATGGACCAAGGAAAAGGTAAAACACACCAGGTGATGGACCCCCAACACAGCCCCAGGCCCCCCATGACAGCAGGACTGCTGCCAGAGTCTTTGCCACTCCTCAGCCGCAGCAGGCTGGCCCCCCTAGTGCCTCTGGGCTCCTTGCACCAAAATCTTGTCAGCCAGCCCCACCCCAATTAGCAGTCCTGCCCCTGCTCTCAACAGTCGCCCCAGAGTGATTTTGAGCTGCTGACTCCCGGGGCTTCTCACTCCATACTCTGCCCTCACCTCCTGCTGCCCCAGGGTCAACCTCCCTGGGCTCTTCGGGCTGGCATCTCCAAGGACCTGGGTGCCCCAATGCCTGCCGTCACCAGTTTTCCTAGGGTGACTTTGGGCAGGTGACTCCTGGGGCTCCCCACTCTATACTTGGCCCTCACCTCCTGCTGCCCCATGCCTGAGTTCCCTGGGCTCTTTGGGCTCGTGTCTCCAAGGACCTGGGTCCTGGCCCTGCACCACCTCCATCTCAAAGTGCAACTCGGGCATCACACTGGTGTGTCCCCACCTCCCCACAGAGGAGTGGGATGTAGTGATGGCACAGTCCCCCTAGGAACTGTTATTACTGCCACTAGACCGGCCTTTGATGTTAAGACCCAATGTTCGGCCAGGCGCGGCGGCTCACGCCTGTAATCTCAGCACTTTTGCTGCACAGATGACACACGGGCTGTGAATTGCTGCATGGATCGCATTTACTTACAGACACAGCTGGTTCCTGTATTGCTCACCCATGTGGGTGACTTACAAGTGAACCAGGCCCAGAAGCTGAGGAGCAGGGGTTCACAGTGGGTCCCCAACTGCTGTCTCCACAGGTCCGCCGGGTGCTGAAGAGCCAGGAGGTGTATGAAAACTTCCTCCACTGCATCGCCCTCTTCAGCCAGGAGCTGGTGTCTGGCTCCGAGCTCCTGCAGCTTGTCAGCCCATTTCTGGGGTGAGTACCTGACTTCCCTGGCCTTCCCAGGGTAGTTCTGTTCCTGTCAACTCCATCTACTAGGTTTTTAGTTACTGTTTTTGAACAATGATTATGCTTTTCTAAAATCCTGTTTACTAATTGAAGTGATTTAGATTAATTATAGATTCCTATGCATTTGTGTTTTTTGTTTGTTTGTTTTAAGATAGAGTCTTGCTCTGTCCCCCAGGCTGGATTGCAATGGCACGGTCTTGGCTCACTGTAACCTCCACCTCCTGGGTTCAAGCCATGCTCCTGCCTCAGCCTTCTGATTAGCCAGGATTACAGGCGCCTGCCACCATGCCTTGCTGATTTTTGTAGTTTTAGTAGAGACAGGGTTTCACCATGTTGGCCAGGCTGTTCTCGAACTCCTGACCTTGTGATCCACCTGCCTCAGCCTCCCCAAGTGCTGAGATTACAGGCATTAGCCACCGTGCACGGCCAATTCCCATGCTTTTGTAAGGAGTGATACACCACCTGGGTACCCTCCAGCTGGTGCCTCCAACAGTAACATCTAGAGTTAGTATCCTCACCAGAAAACAGCAGGTCCTCGAATAAAGCCTTTTCATTTAACACTGTTTTGTTACTGGTGAGAAAAAAACATTCATTTCTGGTCTGAGTGGAGTTTGCGCGTTCTCCCCATGTCTGTGTGGAGTTTCTCCCACATCCCAAAGATGTGCATGTTAGGTTAAATGTAGGTGAAGTGATGAATCTCCATGGTCCCTGCCTGAGTGAGGGTGTGGTGAGCGCCCTGCAGTGGGGCGATGTCCTGTCCAGGGTGCTCTGAGCCGCTGGGATGGGGTCCAGCCGCCGGAGACCCTGAACTGGGATGATTGGGTAAATCGGGTAAGTTGTTTTCACTCATCTTTCTTATCTGTATGTCTGGCTTGCATTTATTTCAGTGTTAAATATTAGAAGTGTTTGGTCTCTCTTGAGAAATTTGGTGATGGTTTTATGACCTGGAATATGCGTTAGGAGTGTCACTCTTGTTGATGTGTCAATTAGCTTGCGGCAAAATTGGTTTTGTTAGGCGTCTTTTCCCCGAAAGTCACAGCCTCCTAAAACCTGTGGATGTTGAGTGAGGGCTGACTGTATCGACTCTCACACAACCCACCGATCTTTCCAGCCTCTCCATGTCACTCGTACACGTCTGGTGTGTGTGTTTATACAACTTTCTCACAGTACAGAAGATACTGAGCAGCTCCAGGGCCGTCAGCGTTCTGCCTTGACCTTTCGTTCCCATCCAAAAAGCCTGCCTCACCCAGAGTCTGTTTTCAACCCCTGGCAACCACTCATCTGTGTGTCTCTAAAATTTATATTAAAATGTTACAGTAATGGAACTATACAGGAGGAACCTTATGGGAGAAACTTTTTTTTTTTTAACCCAGCATAATTCCCTGGAGATTCACCCGATAAATGCCTTTTATAATTTTTTTTTTTTTTTTGAGACGGAGTTTTGCTGTTGTTACCCAGACTGGAGTGCAATGGCATGATCTCGGCTCACCACAACCTCCGCCTCCTGGGTTCAGGCAATTCACCTGCCTCAGCCTCCCGAGTAGCTGGGACTACAGGCACGCACCACCATGCCCAGCTAATTTTTGTATTTTAGTAGAGACGGAGTTTCACCTTGTTGACCAGGATGGTCTCGATCTCTTGACCTTGTGATCCACCCGCCTCGGCCTCCCAAAGTGCTGGGATTATAGGCTTGAGCCACCGCGCCCGGCCCATGCCTTTTATATTTCTAATACTTGGTTCGGGCTTGTGTGGGATGCGGTGGCTCACTTCTGTAATCCCAGCACTTTGGGAGACCAAGGTGGGTGGATCACTGGATGCCAGGAATTTGAGACCAGCCTGGGCAACGTGGCCAAACCCTCTCCCAGAAAATTTAAAAATTAGCTGGGGGTGGTGGCATACTCCTGTAGTTCCAGCTACTTGGGAGGCTGAGCTGGAAGGGTCGCTTGAGCCCGGGAGGTGAAGGCTGCAGTGAGCTGAGCTGTGATCACGCCACTGCACTCCAGCCTGAGACCCTATATCCAAAAAAAAAAAAAAAAAAGTCTGGGTGTAGTCACTCACACCTGTAATCCCAGCACTTTGGGAGGCCAAGGTGAGTGGATCACCTGAGGTCGAGAGTTCAAGACCAGCCTTGCTAACATGGTGAAACCCCATCTCTACTAAAAAAATACAAGAATTAGCTGGGCATGGTGGTGGGCACCTGTAATCCCAGCTACTCGGGAGGCTGAGGCAGGAGAACTGCTTGAACCCAGGAGGCAGAGGTTGCAGTGAGCCAAGACTGTGCCACTGTATTCCAGCCTGGGCAGCAAGAGCAAGACTCCATTAAAAAAAACAAAACAAAACTGTACCCCTGCTGCACAGAGAAAAGCCTCATTAGTGGGTCAAGCCTGAGAGCAGTTTCTAACCCCTGGTGGCCAGATCAGCCTAAGAGGGGACTGGGTCTGGGTGGGGGGCCCTGGGCGCAACTGTGCACACTTGCGTCTGCTCTTGGGTGCACAGGAGTGTGTACAATACAAGTAGGCGGGCCTGTGAGCGCTGTGTGAGACCTGGGAGCCAAGTGGGGCCAGTTTCCCTTCCTGCACATCAGCCCTGTGACTGGGATGAGTCACTCGGCCAGTCCAAGCCTCAGTTTCCTTGCTGTAAAATGGGGATAGTAAATGTACCTACCTCAGCGCGGTTCCTGAGACCTGCAGGTGGGCGCTACCTCTAGGGCTTTTCAAATACAATAGAATCTCACAAATAAAAGGAGATGATAGGTTTCCTTATGCAGAAGGAAATGATGTAAGTCACGAACTTGGATCTACCTAAAGAAGGGAAGAGTGTCCAAGAAAAATACACCTGAAGATTTTTTTCTTTCTTTTTTTTTGAGACAGAGTCTTGCTCTGTCAAGCAGGCTGGAGTGCAATGGTGCAGTCTTGGCTCACTGCAACCTCCAACTCCCAGGTTCAAGCGATTTTCCTGCCTCAGCCTCCTGAGTAGTTGGGATTACAGGTGTACGCCACCACACCTGGCTCATTTTTGTATTTTTAGTAGAAATGGGGTTTTGCTATGTTGACCAGGCTGGTCCCGAACTTGTGGCCTCAGGCAATCTGCCTGCCTCAGTCTCTCAAAGTGCTGGGATTACGAGCATGAGCCACTGTGCCTGGCCATGATTTTTTTTTAATGGTTCTCAAACATGGAGGGCACACATGTTATGTGATCAGCCCATTCAGTCCTTAACTGTTTTCCCATTTACCCCAAGAATAGTAGTTGATGGCAATTGTGGCTGCAGCGTTTACCCCAAGATAACTTTGTCATGAAGCATCTAATTTTTATTATTATTCTTGCATTGCTCTCATATATCAACCTTGGAAATAAAAAGACATTGTTTTACGTATAGCATTCTGTTTTTAGCAGTGGTATTTCCAGTTACACAAAATATAGTAATTCTTGATCACTGAAAATATCAAATCTTGGAAAACGTAGCATTCCTGCACTGGATGGGAACATTGTTCTCAAACGGTTGTTGGCCAGAGACTCATCTGATGGCTCCGACTGTTCTAAAATAGACACTTCTGGTGATTCACATGATTCTGACACTGTTTAGAAATAATTCTGAGAACAGTTTTTATATTTTACTTCCACCTTGAAAATCAGTCAGATTTGCTTCAGCCTCAGAGAGAGTTTATGTAAAATTAAATGAGCTCTGGCATAAGCTGTACTTTTTCTTTTCTAAATGGGAAACAGTTAAATCAACCCTGGGGACAGGTGCTGTGTGAGTCCTTTCGCACTAACTTAAAAAAATGTGTGTATATGTAAATATTTTTCTAACGTAAAATGAAGCACAGATCCAAGATCCACATGGCCGAGAAATGGCTTGAATCTGTATTTAGCAGTCACCCACGTGCCCACCACCCACATCAAAAACAGACTCCAGGAGCCCCCTTCGTACCATTCCAGTCCCTGCCCTTCTCACTTCGAGTGTGTCCTGACTGCAAGAGTGACCACCTACTGCGCTAGTGACGGTGCAGCCACCCAGGGGGGCATTGCCAAATACATGCCTCCATTTCACCCCCAGCCGGGTTTTCTTCCCTTCTTTTTGAGATGGAGTCTCATTCTGTCGCCCAGGCTGGAGTGCAGTGGGGTGATCTCAGCTCACTGCAACCTCCACCTTGCAGGTTCAAGCCATTCTCCTGCCTTAGCCTCCCGAGTAGCTGGGAGTACAGGTGCGCGCCACCACGCCCAGCTCATTTTCGTATTTTTAGTAGAGATGGGGTTTCTCCACGTCGGCCAGGCTGGTTTCAAACTCCTGGCCTCAAGTGATCCTCCTGTCTCAGCCTCCCAAAGTGCTGGGATTACAAATGTGAGCCACGGCACCCAGGCCCTGGGTTTTGTTTCCTAATAATCTCGTAAGTCTCCTTTCACCTCCAGTTCCCTCCGATTCTAGTCCTTACTATTTCTATTCTGATAGCCCTCTACGACGTGTCCCCGCCTCTGTTATTGCTGTGATATTAGCCTCCCAGGTTTGCTCATTCATCTGGGGTTGCACAGGAAGATTGCCACCGCATTTATCACCTTTTCTAAAGTGGCCAGGAAAGCTGCTTGGTTTCAGTCTTGTTTCCTTCCTGCGGCCTCAGAGTGATGAGCTGCTTTCGTGTCATCTTCCCAAGGGGACCAATTAGGTCCTTTTTTAAAAAAGCATGTGAATGAATTCATGGACTTAAAACATATTTGATACGTTTCAATACATTTTCTAGTCCTTTTAAAGGTGAGGGGCTGGGTGTAGTGGCTCACATCTGTAATCCTAGCACTTTGGGAGGCTGAGGTGGGTGGATCATCTGAGTTCAGGAGTTCAAGACCAGCCGAACCAATATGGTGAAACCCCTCCCTACTAAAAATTTAAAAAATTAGCTGGATGTGGTGGCCTGTGCCTGTAGCTACTCAGGAGGCTGAGATAGGAGAATTGCTTGAACTTAGGAAGCAGAGGTTGCAGTGAGCCAAGATCGCACCACTGCACTCCAGCCTGGGCAACAGAACGATACTCTGTCTCAAAAAAAAAAAAAAAAAAAAAAAAAGACTAACCTGGGCAACATAGTGAGTCCTTGTCAGAAACTAGCCTGCAGTGGTGGCACGCACCTGTAGCTATCGCTTGGGTTTCAGAGGCAGAGGTTGCAGGGAGCCATGATCACACCACTGCACTCAGCCTGGGCGACAGAGTGAGACTCTGTCTATAATAAATAAACAAAAATAAAGGTGAGGAAGCTGAAGCTCAGATCAAATGCCTCTGACTTACCCGAGGACAAACACACCTAGGTGAGCTTAGCATGCTGTTAGGCAGCAGCCAGGGTGCGCCAGCCCCAAAGCCAGCCCTTTGTGTGTTCTCTGCCTTCTGGGCACAGTGGCTGCTGGGTGTTGTGTCAACAGGCTCATGCTGTCAGGCTGGACTTCCCTGTCTTTTTTTTTTTTAACTCAACATTCCTTTGAAGTGTTTCAGCATCAGATGTGAACCCACATCCTTTTTTTTTTTTGAGATGGAGTCTTGCTCTGTCTCCAGGCTGGAGTGCAGTGGCGTGATCTCGGCTCACTGCAACCTCTGCCTCTCGGATCAAGTGATTCCCCTTCCTCAGCCTCCCGAGTAGCTGGGATTATAGGCACCTGCCACCACGCCCAGGTAATTTTTTGTGTTTTCAGTACAGACAGGGTTTCACCATGTTGGCCAGGATGGTCTCGATCTCCTGACCTTGTGATCAGCCCACCTCGGCCTCCCAAAGGGCTGGGATTACAGGTGTGAGGCACCGCGCCCGACCCACGGTCTCATTTTTAAGTAACCGCATGGCTTCTCCTTCCCTTAGCAGGATCTCTAACAATGAGCATTGGTCTCTAGTCCTCCCTCAAATGCTCCTGAGGCTACGACCCCCTCAGGTCAAGCTGAGCCCATCAGAAGGCCTTTTCCCTGGTGGTCCTGGGCTTGCACATGCTGGGGTGCTCTTTCTAGTGGGCTTTCTTTCCCAAGCTGCTGAAGGTCTGTAAGTGCCCTGAAGAACAGCCCAGAGCAGGATGGTGTTACTCTAGTCTCAGCCAGACGAGCCCCTGAGACCTGTTTGTGACGTGGGTACAGTCACCTTCACTCACCTCTTTTGGGCTCAGAATCCAGCACTCTCCTGACAGGGGGCCCTCGGGGCTGTGCGTGCAGCTGGGTGTTGGCGTCTGAGCCCAGGGAGCAAGTGATCACTTGCTCTGCTTGGGACTCTGCTTCTTCCTAGCCAAGCAAGCCTCAGTGTCTTTGTAAAATGGCCATACCTCCCTCCTAGGCTTGTCAGGGGGCTAGAGGAGAAGACAAAAGGAACATGAAATTCGAGAATATAAAAGGCAAGATGCTGAGCAGGTGGGCAGTGCTGGGGCACAGTCAGCTGTTCTTGCTTCCGTGTTTCAGCAGTAGTGAGAGACTCATATGGGGAAGTGTGTTTGGGGAGGGTCTATATGGAGCAAGGTCCAGAACTGAAGCAGGCCTCTGCGTGTTCTTGACACGAGGCCTGGTTGGGTTAGGAGCATTTACCACCACGTGGCGTTCCTTTGCGAGTTCAACCTGCCATCAGGTGCTCAGCTGGGCCAGGCAGCTGAACATGGCCCAGGGAGCTGCCCCTTGGAGCTGGCAGCCAGGGTGGATGGGGTTAAGTATCCCTTGAGCGGTTATGGTTTGCGTTAAACTCAGCAGTAGCCTCAGGCATCTCTGCAGCAGTTTTTTCTTTTTGAGACAGTCTCACTCTGTCATCAGGCTGGAGTGTAGTGGCTTGATTTCAGCTCACTGCAACTTCCACCTCCTGGGTTCAAGCAATTCTGCCTCAGCCTCCTGAGTAGCTGGGACTACAGGTGCATGCCATCACACCCAGCTAATTTTTGCATTTTTAATAGAGATGGGGTTTCACCATGTTGGCCAAGGTGGTCTGGATCTTTTGACCTCATGATCCACCTGCCTGGGCCTCACAAAGTGCTGGGATTATAGGCGTGAGCCACTGCACCCAGCCCTCTGCAGTATTTTTATTGGTATCTTTTCTCCCTACATTTCCATTGGCTTGTGGGTTTTCCTTGTGAACAGAGTTGGCATAGGGTTCTTAAATATAGGGCAGACGGAAACCACATCACCGAGGGGTACGTTGTTACACGAGGGTGGGCTGGGGGGCACAGCAGGACCGCGGCACCAGCAGTCAAAGTGACTGCACCTTTTCTGGTAGGATCTGATGTTACTGTTTAGAGACAGTGTCCCGCTGTGTTGCCCAGGCTGGTCTCAAACTCTCGAGCTGAAGCGATCCACCCTGGCCTCCTGAGTAGCTGGGATTCCAGGCACACACCACCAGATCTGATACTGTTCTAAACAGAAATCCAAGTGGCATTGTAGGGTCGTTTGCATTAAAGCCTTCCTGTCGTCGAGCACAGCCATGACATTCTGACTTTCAAGGATATGTCCAGAGAGGGGTTCACAGAGAAGTCTCCCTCATGAGAGCAGAAGGCTGTGGATCAGGGATCAGTGAACTTGATCTCTGAGGGCTCATATGGGCTTTGTGGAAATGACTCAAACCCCTCTCGTGCAGGCGGCCACAGGCACTGCAAAAGCCAGTGGATATGACTGTGCCAGTGAACCTTTGTTTACGATGGGATGGCTGGGCACGGTGGCTCATGCCAGTCATTCCAGCACTTTGGGAGGATGAGGCAAAATGTTGCTGGAGGCCAGGAGTTGGAGACCAGCCTGGGCAACACAGCAAGACCCTAACTCTACAATAAAGTTTTTAAAATTAGCCAGGCGTGGTGGCACATGCCTGTGGTCCCAGCTGCTGAGGAGGCTAAGTTGGGAAGATCTCTTGAGCCCAAGAGTTTGAGGTTGCAGTGAGCTGAGATCATGCCACTGCCCTCAAGCCTGGGCAACAGAGTGAAACACTGTCTCTAAAACCAACCAAACAAAACATAGGCAGTGGGTACATTGGCTGAGGTGAAGCCCGACCTCTTCCAGTCAGGGAACATCACGGGCTCCAGCTTCTGCCCGTTTAAGTCATCTTTTCTGGTTTATTTCAAAGCCTTCCTGTGAGTCTGGGGTCAGTAGGCACAGGAAGGGACCTGGTATGTGACAGAGGGGTGGGAGGCCCATTCATTCACACACCTTGGGACATGCAGTGACTTCCTGTGTATCGGATGTTTCCGCCTCTCATTCCTGTCCATGATGTTGAATGCTGACTCTGTTTAACCTGGAATGTCCATTTGAAGCCATTCTAAAATCTCCAGATCCCTCTCAGAAGGCCCTGGGGATGACCAGTTACCATTTGTTTTTATCTTTGAAGGAAATTTCCAGAACTCTTTGCACAGTTCAAGTCCTTCCTGGGGGTAAAAGAGCTGTCCTTTGTGCCACCCATGAGCGACAGATCTGGGGATGGGATATGCCGGGAAATCGACTATGTGTCTTGCAAACTATGTGTCCAGCTACTGGGCGCTCCCCAAAACCTACCAGCAACCCAAGTGCAGCGGGAGGACGGCCATCTGCAAGGAGGTAGTGCTCCTCAGGGCTCACATGTTCCTTGACATGGTGCATCCCTCTCCCTCCCCAGCAAACACCCAATACCCCCGTTATGAATGCATTGCTGTGAGCTCAGCCCCCTTGAATGTTGGGTTATGGGTGGTGCTGGGATGTGGCCTGGCAAAACCACCTGAGCAGAGACGACAGTGTTGTACCCTGCTGGTAGTTGCAAACCACGAGTGCAGGGATAGTGTGGAGTTCAGCTTATTCTTCGGTTGACTTAGGTTTATGGCTGCTGTGATTCTGCTCAGTTCCAGGCTCACTGACCTCAGTGTTTCTGTTGAGCTTGACCATTGGATACTTATCCAGGGTTTGTGGACAGATGATACTGCATGTCCAAGTTTCCAAAGTACCTGCTGGATTCTAGGATATAGTGCAGGGGTCACCAAACTCTGGCCCGAGGACCCTGGCCCACTGCCTGTGTTTGTAAATAAAGTTTTATTGGCACACAGACTCAGGCAATTATTTACATGTTGCCTGTGGCTGCTTTTCTCACCACAAAGGCAGAGTTGAGTATTCATCCAAGATAGTCTGCAAAGCCTGAGATACTCGCTATCTCACGCTTTGCAGAGAGAATTTACCAATGTCTGAACTGAAATCAGCCCTCTGTATCTGCAGATTCCACATCTGTGGTTTCAGCTAACCATGGATTGAAAATACGTGGGGAAACCAAAAAGTAATATTACAGCAAAAGATAATCCACATTTTCAGCATGCAGTGTAACAACGATTGCGTTAGGTCTAAGTATTCTAGACGTGATTCTGCCTAGGTTATATGCAAATAGGACTCCATTTGACGTCAGGGACTTAAGTATCTGTGGATTTGGGTCTCTAGGGGTGCTTCTGCAACCAGTCTCCTGGGACACCAAGGGACGTGTTCACTTGACCAAAGTCATGTTTTCCCTTAAAAACTTGATTAGCCTTCCCATTTGCATAAGGCATCCGCATATTATATAATCAGGATGGTATAATGTATCTTTGTACTTTCTGCTCTGGATGACAGTAAATTTGGGCCCCTGGGGCCTGCTGCGCTGGTCATATCGTTTCCTCTTGGTGCAGGTACTGAACGATACCTGGGTCTCCTTCCCCTCCTGGTCTGAGGACTCCACCTTTGTCAGCTCCAAGAAGACGCCCTACGAGGAACAGCTGCACCTCTGTGAGGACGAGCGCTTCGAGGTGTGTATGCTGCTGTGGCCAGGCCCTTCCACCCTCAGCACATTCTCCACAGGACAGGCGTCCTCTTCCTCCTCCACCACCCCAGTCTCCTTTGGAGGAGCAGGTGTTGCAGCACATTCCAGCAGCTCCTGGAAGCTTCCTGCCAGGTCTTGCTGGCCTCTGGGCTGGCTACTAGATGGCGCTTTTTTTTCTGTTTAAAATTTTATTTGGGCTGGGCATAGTGGTACATACCTGTAATCCCAGCACTTTGGGAGGCCGAGGCAGGTCACTCGCTTGAGTTCAGGAGTTTGAGACTAGCCTGGGCAACGTGGTGAAAACCCATCTGTATCAAAAATACAAAAATGAGTCTGGCGTGGTAGTGGGCACCTGTATTCCCAGCTACTCAGGAGGCTGAGGCAGGAGAATTACTTGAACCAGGTAAGGCTGAGGCTGTCGCGAGCTGAGATTGTGCCACTGCACTCTAGCCTGGGTAATGGAATGAGACCCTGTCTACTAAAAAAAAAGTTTAGGCTGGGCGCGGTGGCTCACGCCTGTAATCCCAGCACTTTGGGAGGCCGAGGCGGGTGGATCACGAGGTCAAGAGATCGAGACCATCCTGGTCAACATGGTGAAACCCCGTCTCTACTAAAAATACAAAAATTAGCTGGGCATGGTGGCGCGTGCCTGTAATCCCAGCTACTCGGGAGGCTGAGGCAGGAGAATTGCCTGAACCCAGGAGGCGGAGGTTGCGGTGAGCCGAGATCGCGCCATTGCACTCCAGCCTGGGTAACAAGAGCCAAACTCCGTCTCAAAAAAAAAAATGTTTAATTAATGTAATTTAAATTTATTTTTATTTTGTTTATCTTGCTTGCTCTGTCTCCCAGGCTGGAGTGTAGTGGCACGATCATGGATCACTGCAGCCTTGACCTCCCAGACTCAAATGATCCTCCCACCTCAGCCTCCTGAGTCACTGGAACCACAGGTGCACAATACCATGCCCAGGTTTTTGTTTTTGTTTTTGTTTTTGTTTTTTACTTTTTTTGTAGGGTTGAGGTCTCACTATGTTCCCCAGGCGGGTCTCACACTCCTGGTCTCAAGTGATCTTCCCACCTTGGCCTCCCAGAGTGCTGAGGTTAAGGCAATGAGCCACCGCACCTGGCTTATTTTTTTGTTGTTGTTGTTGTTTTTTGTTTTTGTTTTTTTTTAAGAAACAGGGTCTTTATTGCCCAGGCTAAAATAATTTTTGTAAATATATATATTTTTTTAAATAAAATTTTTATTGGCTGGGTGCGATGGTTCACGCCTGTAATCCCTGCACTTTGGGAGGCTGAGTCAGGAGGAATGCTTGAGGCCAGGAGTTCAAGAGCAGCCCGGGCAACAAAGTAAGAACTCATCTACAAAAAAAGGTTTTTTTTCATTCTTTGTATTTTTCTTTTTATTTATTCTTTTTTTTCTTTTTTTTTGTTTTTCTCTTTTTCGTTTTTCGCATATAACAGGAAAAAAAATTTTTTTAATTAGCCAGGCGTGGTGGTATACACCTATACCCTTCGCTACTTGGGAGGCCAAGGTGGGAGGATAGTTTGGGCCTAGGAGGTTGACACTGCAATGAGCTATGCTTCTGCCACAGCACTCCGGTCTGTGTGACAGAGTAAGACTCTCTTAAATACACACACACACACACACACACACACACACCTTATCTCTTAAATACACACACACACACCCCAAAAATTCTCTGTCCTCTGAGGTCCCAGGACCCTCCCTGCAGCCTCTTGAGTTCCCCAGCGGCTGACCCCTTCCTTCCTTCCTTTCCGTAGTTAGATGTGGTCCTGGAGACCAACCTGGCCACCATCCGCATGTTGGAAAGCGTGCAGAAGCTCTCTCAGATGACGCCGGAAGACCAGGAGAAGTTCTGGCTGGATGACTCCCTGAGGGGCAGTCGGAGGTGATCCAGCGCCGTGCCATCCATAGCACCTATGGCAACGAGGCCCCAGAGATCATTGAGAGCCTCAAGAAGAACCCCATGACCGCTGTCCCTGTTGTCCTGAAAAGGTGCCCTACAGCATCTGGCCTTCCTTTCCCCACCGCGTGGAGCTTCTGGACTGCTCATTAGTGCTGTTTGTCAACAGGTGTCATCTCCAGCGGGGGTCTCTGAGGCCTAGGGCTGGCTTCCTGTATCTCCCACTCTCCCACTCCTGAGAGGAGAGCACTGTGACCCTCTAGGACTTTCCACCTTGCACATAATCACATCTAGACGTGTAAATAACTGCTTTAAGAGTCAGATGCAACCGCTACACTGTGGCTGGCTTTTTAAGTAATGCTACATCTCAGATACCATCCCGTACAGGTATTTATTAAGTGGCCACTTTAAGGGAGCTGCAGTGCTTGGCCCTGGGGTTATGCAGCTGAGTGGGGCAGACCCGGTCCCTCTCCTCATGGGACTCACAGCTGAGCAAGGAACCTAAGTGGTTGATCCAGGAGCCATGCGGAGAGGCGGTGGAACTGGGAAGCCAGCCACATTGGCTTTGTGAGGCCATCACGCCTTCCCTCTGATGCAGCACGGAGCCCACTGCACAGACTAGGCTGGGAGCTGGCTGGCCTGGGTCCTGGGCCTCCAGTCAAATCCCAGAGGAAGACAGGCCAGCCCCAGGGTGCTTTAGGGAGGATGGCCTGGCTTGTCCCTGGCGCTGACCCCTCTTTCCCCCGCAGGTTGAAGGCCAAGGAGGAGGAGTGGCAGGAGGCTCAGCAGGGCTTCAACAAGATCTGGCGGGAGCAGTATGAGAAGGCATACCTCAATTCCCTCAACCACCAGGCTGTGAACTTCAAGCAGAATGACACCAAGGCCCTGCGCTCCAAGAGCTCAACGAGACCGAGAGTGTCTATGACGAGGTACCACTGGCTGGCTGGGCAGGGTCCTGGCTTTCCCAACTGCTGGGTCTGTGCCTCTGTTTCCCTGGTGCTTAGGCAGGGTAGTGGCATCGCCCTTTCAGGGCTGAGTCTAGGCAAGGGTTCATGTCTCTGTGATGCCTAGCCTTCGGCCTGCCCTAGAAGAACCAGCAACTCTGCTGTTGTGTAGAGAAGTCTCCGGCCCTCCCATGGGGCAGTGATGGACTTTGGCTTAGGTGGCGGGTGGCAGCAGCCTTCATTTCTTTCTTGCTGACTGTGCCAGGCAGGGTGTTAGCACTCCCAGAAGGAGTAATATCTCATCTGACCTCACTTCTGAACCTGACTCTGCTGCTGCATTATTCTGATTTTACCAGTGGGGAAACTGAGGCACAAGAGGTTGCACGTGGCCAGGGCTGGTCATAGCGGGCCAGAGCTCTGAGTTGTCAGGTCCGAGGCTTTCCGCTGCACATCCTCACTGCAGGCTCAGGAGGCCTGAGTCACAGAACCAAGGCTAGCAGGGCCCGCAGGTTGCCGGGAGCTGGGTTGTTAGCAGCCATGCCTTTGGAGCCTGAGGTGGGAAGCTTGGCAGGGTGCTGGTCTTGGTGGCAGCCAGCTGTCGGGAAGGTCTTTGGTCGCTCTGAGAAGGTGGCTGGGGAGGGGTGGTGCTCCCTGGACAGTGCCCAGATCACAGTGGGGCTGCATTGTCAGCCTGGTGCCCACCTGGGCAGGGGCATCACCTCACCCCATTCGGTTTCTTCCTGCTGTCACTGCACAATGAGCGGTAGCTCCTCCTTTTGCGACACAGAAACGGAAGCCACAGGAACTGGGCTGCTGGCCTGAGGCCTCTCCCACAGCCTGTGGGACTGTGGAGACCCCTTTCCCTTCCACCTCCCTCCCTGTGGGCTGTCCTCGCCGCAGGCCCACCCCACAGCCACTCTGGCTTCCTCACTGTAGCCCTCCGTGGATCCTCAACCCCGAGACCCTGCATAGGTTCTGTGAGTCTGTGGCATCTGCAAAGTGTAGGTGATGAAGTGGCCCTGGAGATTCACTGATGCGACCCCAAGTTCCTCAGTCCCTCCCTGGGGCTGATGAGGGCACTGCGGTTGGCCCCCTGGCCTGGCGCATCTCTGCACATGCAGGTCCTTGTCACATTCCAAAGTCGGACCCCCATTCCATCATGCAGTTTACAAAGCATGGTTATGGACCACAGACATGGGGACCCTGCTTCAGAGGGGACTGTAAAGGAATTTTGAAAGTGTTTATGGCATAAATCAGACCTGGGGGACTTAGGAAGCAGTCAGAGGGCAGAGGCCCCACTGAAGAGCCCAGAGTGGAGCTGAGTGTGCAGAAGCCTAGGAACCAGCCCAGCATGCTTGGCCCCGCCAGCCTCTATGCTGCCCTGCAGGGGAGGAGGAAGGGAAGCCTCAGGCTGCTGGAAGACCCAGTGCTGCCCTCGGGAGCTCCCCGCCGGCAGAGACAGCATCCACAACTCACTTTCCTCAAGAGCCCCGGTGCGTCTGCCTCCCCGCCTGGTCCTGAGGGGTTGGGGCCGCCCAGCACAGTGGCATGGCAGGCTGGAGAAAGGAGTGATTGTCTTCCACTGTGAGGGAATGAAAGTCACGATTTGGATAAAGACCAAGGGGAGAGGTGAGCCTGAGGGAGGGGTAAGCCTGGGATAGGGTTTTCCAGGGAGTAAGAGCAGACAGGCATGTGCAAAGGCCCTGCACATGCAGGAGGAGCTTGATGCCCCAAACATCGCAGGAAGGAGCCTGGGGACTGTAAGGCCAGAGGAGTTGTGGAGGGGTGTGCCAGGGCCCAGCGTCTTCTGAGCAGCCTGGGGACCATTAGTCAGGGTGACCTTGCTCCTGTTGGGCAAACTGCCCAGGTCCCCGTGAGGAGAGTGGTTGGAGCAGGCTGGTGGGAGGGCTGGTGACGTGATGGTGGTAGCAGGCACATGCAGGGGCTGGCAGGTGACAGCAGTGGAGATGGGCTTGGTGACGATGGGCGTGTGGGGCTTCAGATGTGAGAGTCACAGACCTCCCGGGGAGTAGATGGAGGGCAGAGGCAGAGAGGTCGAGGCTCACTCTGCACCTACTTGACCTCGTCAACAGTGTGGTGTGGGCAGCCATGGTCAGGCTGGAATCAGGCGCTGCCATTGTTAGTAGTAGAAGGTCGGCCTCAGAGGCTTCGTGCTGAGCCATGGCGCCCTGATCTCTGTCCTGGAGTTGGGCTGAGTGACAGACCCACGCTTGATGCTGCCAGACGCCCTGTGACCTCCCCGCTCCCATCTCAGAATTCTCTCCTTCGCCTGGTGTCCCAGGATGACTTGGGTCTGCCCTGCTTTCAGAGAGGGGATCAGGAGCACATGGCACTGCACAAGAGGCTAAGGCAAGCACCCCACGCCCCCAGGCCCTGCTGCTTCACTGACACTGCTCACGCACCCCTCTCTGGGCAGCGCTCATCCACCTTGGTGGCCTAGCTCACAGCAACTCACGAAGGGCGTAGGGGTCCTCTGGGTGCTGGGTGGCTCCCTGCCTAATGGCCATCCTGTCCCCCACAGCACCAGGAGCAGCACTCGGAGGCCCACAGTGCCCCCTCCAGCGAGCCACACCTCATCTTTGTGTACGAGGACTGGCAGATCCTGGAGGACGCAGCAGCGCTCATCAGCTACTATGTGAAGCGGCAGGCAGCCATCCACAAGGAGGACAAGGGCACCATCCACCAGCTGTTGTACCAGTTCGTGCCCAGCCTCTTCTTCTCCCAGCAGCTGGACCTGGGTGCCTCCGAGGAGTCAGCCAACGAGGACCGGGACAGCTCCCAGGGGCAGAGCATAGACCCCAGCAAACGGAAGAAGCCGGCTCCAGGACCGCACAGCAGCCCCCCGGAGGAGAAGGGGGCCTTCAGGGATTCCCTGGCCGCCGAGCAGCTGCCCCCGCCACCCCCACTTCTGCACAAGGCCCTGGAGGACTTCTACAGCCTCTTCTTCGCCAACAACGACTGGTACTTCTTCCTGGGCCTGCACCAGACCCTGTGCTCCAGGCTGCTGAAGATCTGCCACCAGGCGCAGAAGCAGCTCCTGGAGTATCGGACCAAGAAGGAGCGGGAGAAGCTGCTCTGCGAGGGCCGCAGGGAAAAGGGCAGCAACACCGCCATGGAGCTGTGGCGGAAGCAGCCCAGTAAGGGTCCAGGGCCTGCCGGGAGGCCCTGAGGGTGCCTGGGGTTCGGGATCACAGCTCATCATCCCACACGTCCTGTTTCTTTCTGGCTTTTCATTTTAAGAATTCTGTGATTTCAAATGGGAAATTGCAAAGAGGAAGCTGCCAGCATCAGACAGGTCTGGTGAACCCCTCGCCCAGGCTCCTATCCTGGGTGTAGCACCCTGTCCTGACCAGGAAAGCTGTGTTTTTCACAGCCCTTCCCATGGAGCCATCATCGCCAAGCTCCAGAGCGCCCTTTTTCTTTTTTTTTTTTTTTGAGATGGAGTTTTGCTTTGTTTCCCAAGCCGGAGTACAGTAGTGTGCTCTTGGCTCACTGCAACCTCACCTCCCAGGTTCAAGCTATTCTCCTGCCTCAGCCTCCAAAGTAGCTGGAATTACAGGCATGTGCCAGCACACCCAGCCAATTTTTTGTATTTTTAATAGACAGGATTTCACCATGTTGGCCAGGCTGTTCTTGAAGTCCTAACCTCAGGTGATCCACCTGCCTTGGCCTTCCAAAGTGCTGGGATTACAGGCATGAGCCACCGTGCCCAGCCTCCACAGCACTTTCACTGGCATCCCTGGGTTGCCAGTCAGATTAGGCAGCCTCAGGGAGGGTAGCAGTGAATGCCAGTTACTCAAATTTCCTGCTGATGCCCAGACTTGCCCCAGGAGTGGCAGGTGACCAGGTTGCTGGGCCCCACGGGGGCATTTGTTGGGGTGCTGTGGTGCCAGAGCTTGGCCTGCGTGGCTTCTCACACCCCCGGGAGGCATGTGGATGAAGCCGTGTGTCTCCACAGGTGAAGTGGAGCTGGAGGAATACTACCCAGCCTTCCTGGACTTGGTACGGAGCCTGCACGAGGGCAGCATCGACCCCACGCAGTATGAAGACACCCTGTGTGAGATGTTCACCATCCATGCCTAAGTGGGCTTCACCATGGACAAGCTGGTACAGAACATCGTGTGGCAGGTGAGCTGGGGCGGGACCAACACTTAGGACACTGCATGTGGCCCTGCCATATCATCACACTCCCTTGCCGGGAGGGGGCCTGTGGTCTACGGCAAACCTATCCTGATTTCTTCTTCATTGAGACAAAATTCTCATAATGTAAAAATGAAACATTTTGAAGTGTCCAGTTTGGTAACATTTAGTACATTCACAATATTGTGCAGCCTCCACCTCTGTCTAGTTCCAGAACATTTCATCTTTCCCAGAGGAGACCCAGTCCCCAGCAGCAGCCACTCCCCGACACCCAGTAATCTGCTTTCTGCCTCTGGGTTTCCCGCGCGCTGCGTTCATTCCTTTCTATGGCTCTGTGATACTCCGTTGCACGGCTGGCTGCATTTCGTTTCTCCATCTCTTGGTGGCCATCTGGGCTATGGCAGAGACGGTGAACAGTGCTGCTCTGAACATTTGTGTACAAGTTCTTCTGAGTCCCTGTTGACAAACCTTTTTGAGGGTGAATTGACAACATGAAAAAAACCTTAACCCACTTATCCTGGGGGAGGGTGTGAACAGCACAGCTCACCAGCGTTGGTTTTAGTAGTAGCAAAAACCAGCCCCCGCTGAATGTCACCACAAGGAAGCCAGTCACCTAGATAGAAACAGCAGACGTCCCAGGCGAGCTGGGTGTGGTTCCAGGACATGGGTCCTGCTTGGTTTCTGCCAGAAGCATTGTTCTTGGTGACTTCTGTTTCCTGGTCACCAAGTAAGGCTATTCATCATAAAGTGGAAAAAAAGCTGGAAAAAAACTAATGCCATTACTCTCCCACTCAGACACAGTCACGAGAAGCATTTCACACAAGATGCTTCCACCCCGGTTTTAAAGACTGCTTATGGAACTAAAAACCACACGCAGAAAAGTCCCCAAATCTGAAGGGGGCAGATGGATGGGCTTTCATCAAGAGAACCCCTGCCCCTGTGTCCCCACCCAGCCACCTGCCACCTGTGGACACCAATAACCCCGATCTTTTTTTGAGACTGGGTCTTGCTCTGTCACTAGGCTGGAGTGCAGTGGTGCAGTCTCAGCTCATAGCAACCTCCACCTCCTTGGTTCAAGCGGTGCTCTTGCCTCAACCTCCTAAGTAGCTGGGATTACAGGTGTGTGCCACCACGCTTGGCTAATTTTTGTGTTTTTAGTAGAGATGGGATTTCGCTATGTTGGTCAGGCTGGTTTTGACCTGACCTCAGATTATCCTCCTGCCTTGGCCTCCCAAAGGGCTGGGATTACAGGCATGAGCCACCGTGCCCAGCATCACAACCCTGATTTCTGCACAGAGGTAGATCCCTGGTCTTGAAGCACACAGTGCCCAGCTGCATCCTGGGAGTATCATTCTGTGAGATTCCTGTGTTGAGATGAACTGGCCAATGATTCCCAGGAATGATCCCCATTCTGTCTCTGGCCACAGGACTTAGAGAAACCCACAGCTGTGTCCTGATACCTTTGCTTCAACCCCCTCCACTTTCCCTCTGTGTGCCTGAAATGGGTTCCTGCCCATCACCATCCACAGCTGTGGCCACTTCCGGGTGAGGGAGACATGCAGGGAGCAGCCTGGAGAGAGGACACCCAGGGCCCAGCACATGGTGTCAGGTCAGTGGTGCAGGGATGCCAGAGGGCTGGCATTCCATCCCCCAGGCTGGGCACCCCTGATGGGCCACGGGTTCAGGGACCGCAGCTTTGCTGTGGCACCAGGAGATTGGACCAGATGGTTTATGGAAAGCATTGATTAACACTTTGAAAAATCCTCCCATTCCATAAACCTCTTCTCTAGAACTTGTTAAAAAGCAGTGAAAATGGGCTGGCTGTCTGGAGCTGTCGTCAGGGCCTCACTCACACTGCCCTGCTGTCCCATCTGTGGCCACACCACAACCCAGGAGCAGCTGGCATTCAGTGGGTACCGGCTGTGTGCCAGTTACTGTCTGAAACCTGTGCCTGCCCAGGTGTTATTGTATCCATTCAAGAAAGCTGCACATGGAACCTGCAGGGAGTGTGGTCCTGCCCAGGGCCCAGGCTGTGTAGGCGGGCTCACACCAGCCCTGTCTGCCCCACAACCCCTGCTATCTCCATTACTTTCTCCTTCAGCACAAAGGTAAAAGGAATGGCAGTGTGTTTATAGCCAAGCATTCAGGGGAAAGGAATGGCCTGCACTGACACTCCCTTCACATCATTCCTTGGTTTGCTTTGGCACATTTTTGTCCATATCTTCTCCGTGTGTTTCTCATACCCAGGGAGGGTGTGCTGGTCTGGTCTCTTCTAAGCTGGTCCCGTGTTGGTCTGGTCTGGTCTGGCCTGGCCTGGCCTGGCCTGGTCTGATCTGGTCTGGCCTGGCCTGGTCTGGCCTTGTCTGTTTGGTCTGGCCTGGCCTGACTTGGCCTGGTCTTTTTGGTCTGACATGGCCTGGTCTGGTCTGTTTGGTCTGGTCTGGTCTGTTTGGTCTGGCCTGGTCTAGTCTGGTCTGGTCTGTTTGGTCTGGCCTGGCCTGGTCTGGTCTGTTTGGTCTGGCCTGGCCTGGTCTGGTCTGTTTGGTCTGGCCTGGTCTAGTCTGGTCTGGTCTGTTTGGTCTGGCCTGGCCTGGTCTGGTCTGTTTGGTCTGGCCTGGTCTAGTCTGGTCTGGTCTGTTTGGTCTGGCCTGGCCTGGTCTGGTCTGTTTGGTCTGGCCTGGCCTGGTCTGGTCTGTTTGGTCTGGCCTGGTCTAGTCTGGTCTGGTCTGTTTGGTCTGGCCTGGTCTAGTCTGGTCTGGTCTGTTTGGTCTGGCCTGGTCTAGTCTGGTCAGTTCTGTTTGGTCTGGCCTGGTCTGGTCTGGCCTGTTTGGGCTGGCCTGGGCTGGCCTGGTCTGGTGTGTTTGGAATGGCCTGGCCTATTTGGTCTGGCCTGGTCTGTTCTGTTTGGTCTGGCCTGACCTGGCCTGTTGGGTCTGGTCTGGTCTGGCCTGGTCTGGTCTGTTTGGTGTGGCCTAGTCTGGTCTGTTTGGTCTGGCCTGGTCTGTTCTGTTTGGTCTGACCTAGTCTGGTCTGTTTGGTCTGGCCTGGTCTGGTCTGTTCTGGCCAGGTCTGGCCTGGCCTATTTGGTCTCATCTGGTCTGGCCTGGCCTGGTCTGGTCTGTTTGGTCTGGTCCAGCCTGTTTGGTCTGCACACAGCCTGTCAGGATCCTGGTCTTCACCCCGTGTCACGCACTCTCCATCCTGAGGTGTTTCTGGCCTTTTCCGACTCCCTCTGTGGGTGAGGTGGGGGCTCCTACAGGAGGCAGGGTAGCAGCACTGCCTGCTCTCCCTCCCACCAGCTGCACCACCTTGTGAGTGACGTCTGCCTGAAGGTGGTGGAGCTTTACCTAAATGAGAAGAAGCAGGGTGCTGCTGGCGGGAACCTGTCTTCCCGCTGTGTCCGTGCCACCAGGGAGACCAGCTACCAGTGGAAGGCTGAGTGCTGCATGGCCGATGAGAACTGCTTCAAGGTGAGAGGTGGCCCAGGGCTGGGAACAGGTGGGGAGGCCCGGCCTCTCACTTGGCTCTTGACTTGGGCCTTCGGCTGGAACGCCAGCCCTGCAGCAGAGTCCGTGAGGTGGCTTTGACCTGCAGGAAGCATCAGGGCTTTGGGAGGGTGGCAGAGGTGGTGGCGGCAGCCTTGTGAGCCCGAGTGGTGCCGCTGCGCTGTCCCAGCAGTCAGGCTGTCCACCTCCCTGCTCCCGCAGGTCATGTTCCTGCACTGCAAAGGGCAGGTGATCGTGACCATTGAGCTCCCGGCCACGGAGGACCCTGTGGAGGTCCAGGTGAGGCCCTGGCTTTAGTCCATGCCACACACACCAGGGAGTGCCAAGTGCAGGCCATGCAGCATCCACCCAGAGACCCTCTGCAGGCCGTGGGTGCCCCTTGAGGCCTGGTGGGTGGGGCGGCCTCCCTCCCTGCTCCCCCGCCAGCCTGTCTTCTGTGCCCACTCTCCAAAGAGCAGACCACCCCTCCCAAGCCAGCAGGTGGGTCCCAGGGCAGGAGGGGAGGCAGGTCACCTCTCCCTGGCCCCTGGCTCCCACTGCAGGGAGTCCCTGCAGCTATGACCTCTGCTCCCCTATGTCAGGACCGAATCCTGATCCCAGTCCCCAGCCAATGAGCTGCCAGCCCCCAGTTCCCAGTCAGTTTCCACTGGGACAGATGTTCCTGCTCACCTCCCGTGTCCTGGTGGGAGGATGGCATCGACCTATGTGTGTCCGCAGGGTGGTCACTGGGTCCTGCAGGTCCAGTGTGTGTGTGTGCACATCACTCAGCTGGGGTGACTGCCACAACGATCAAAAACCACATGGTTTCAAACAACAAATTCTATTCTCTCAACCCCACAACAACAGTGTGGGTTGGGCCATGCCCCCGCTAAAGGTCTAGGGGCAGATCCTTCCTGCTCTTCCAGCTTCTGAGGCTTCTGGCATGCCTCAGCTGGTGAGAGCTACAGTATGGGTGTTCTCTGTCAGGGATCGGAGCCCTCCACAGCAGCCCTCCTCATGCTCTGGGAGTTGGGGGTGTGGTGCACAGAACCCCTGTGAGCCACTGAACTCAGGGTCCAGAGTGAGAGGGACCATGGCCCTGCTGTAGGGGCATCATGGGTCATGGGCTATCTCTCTTCCTCTCCCCAGCACCTGGCTCGGTACGTGGAGCAGTACGTGGGGACCGAGGGCGTGTCCAGCTCACCCACTGAGGGCTTCCTCCTGAAACTTGTGTTCCTGCAGAGGTGAGAGGCCCTGAGACACGTGCTCAGTTCCTTCCAGTGAGCCTAGGGAGTGTCCCCTTTGTCCTGATGGGGGCTGGACCGTGGCACATTCTGTCTGGGAGCACTTAGTAGGCACCTGCTGTGTGCTAAGGTATGGCCCTGCCCTTTTGAGGCTTGTGGTCTCCATGGGTGGGATCAGTAACCCCAGGATGCTGAGGGGTATAAGGGGCCAGGTCCAACCACATGGGGAGGCAGTGGATGGAAGAGTGAGCACCCGGCCTGGAGGGAGATGCTGCCCGAGCTGCAGGCCAGGCCCGAGGTGGATGGCTATGGTGGGACCCTGGAGCACCTCCCGTTGGGCTAGGATGGCACCCCTGGGACCAGTAGGGGCTTCTGGTGGGTGTTCAGATCTGGGGATGTTTCTTGTTGCTTCCATTTGCTTTTCTGTGGACCCCCCAGGAGGTAGCACATCTTCTGGTGGTCCCAGGCCCGAGGGCTCCCCAGCCTGCAAATCCTCCTCCCCTTTCCAGAGGCCCTTGGCTCACAATGCCAAGAACCAAGGTCCACCCTACCTCATCTCGCCCCCAGGAACCTCAAGAAGTTCCACCGCCGATGGCAGAGCGAGCAGGCGCGGGCCCTGCGCGGCGAGGCCAGGAGCTCCTGGAAGCAGCTGGTGGGCGTGGAGAGCGCCTGCGACGTGGACTGCCGCTTCAAGCTCAGCACCCACAAGATGGTGTTCATCGTGAACTCCGAGGACTACATGTACCGCCACGGGACCCTCTGCCGGGCCAAGCAGCTGCCAGGGGAGGCCGGGGCTGCCTCGACACACCCTCCTCACCCCATGTGTGGGGCCCGGGATCCAGCCCTCTGCCACCCTGACACCCTGCCTCTCCAACAGGTGCAGCCCCTGGTCCTGCTCCACTACCACCAGCACTTTGAAGAGTGGCATAGCCGCTGGCTGGAGGACAACATGACAGTGGAGGCGGCCAGCCTGGTGCCCTGCAAGACGCTGTGTGAGATGGCCCTGGCAGTTCTGACCCCCACTCCTGCTGGAGGGTCAGGGTTCCTGGGTAGTATGACAAGCCAGGCTGGAGGCCACCTCATTTCCTTCTGCCTCGATCACACAGCTGGGGATGCCCAGGGTCCCCTCTGAGCCGGCAGACTGGCTTCCTTGGTCAGAAGTGCTACAGGGCCTGGAAAGGACCGAGCTGGTCCCAGGAGAGCGAACGAAGAGTAGGTCTTTGAGGGGGCCCCGCCCCGAGGGTTCCCCTACCCTCAAGTAGGCGGGGCCTATGGCCTGGAGGAGGTGGTATGACATGAGATGAGAGGTTCCTTACTGGCCCTGAAGACATCTCCACTGTGCTGAGGAGGGGACCCCATGGCAGGGGACAGAGAGTGGCCTCCAAGAGCCAAGAGTGGAATCTCAGAGCCACCACACCACCACCAGGACCCAAATTCTGCCAAAGTCCATGTGAGCCCAGGAAAGACCCCGAGCAGCAGATAGGGACACAGCCCAGCTGACACCTTGATCACAGCCTCATCTGACCCTGAACCAAGGACCAAGCCTGCCAGGCCAGACCCCTGGCCCACGGAAACACGAGGTCATAGAGGCGTGTGGCTGTGAGCCACGTTCATTACTGAGAGAACAGCAGCATTAATAATGCTGCTGTGTGTCCAGCACCTTCAAGTACAGGGAGGTGGCTGAGGATCTCAGGAACCCCTCCCTACATGTGATGCTGACAGAGGGCACTGGGACCGGGGCTTCCAGTGGGGCCCCATGAATATTGATTCTGTTGCTGCTGAGGGCTTTGTCTCGCTGGGTTTCACAACATGTAACCAGCGCTTCATACCTGCCGTCATCACTCGCTGAGAATGAGGCTACTCCTAACAGCAAATAGTACCATCCAGCAGTCGTGTTCCTTTCTATTTGCCCAAGGGAACTGAAAACTTGCATCCACACAAAAACCTGCACGCAGATATATGCGGCCACATTCACCACTGCCCAAACTCAGACACAACCAAGACATCCTTCAGCAGGGAACGGATAAACCATGTCACCTCCAGACAACAGGATATAAAAGGGAATGGGCTCCAAAGCTGCAAAGACATGAAGGAGCCAGGCGTGGTGGCTCCCACCTGTAATTCCAGCACTTGGGAGACCAAGGTCAGGAGTTGGAGACCAGCTTGGCCAACATGGTGAAACCCCATCTCTACTGAAAATATACAAACCAGCCAGCCATGGTGGCGTGTGCCTATAATCCCAGCTACTCCAGAGGCTGAGGCAGGAGAATTGCTTGAACCCAGGCGGCAGAGATTGCAGTGAGCCAAGATCGTGCCACTGCTCTCCAGCCTGGGTGACAGGGCAAGACTCTATCTCAAAAAATAAAAGACACAAAGGGACCTCAAATGCATCTAAGTGAAAGAAGCTGGTCAGGAAAGGCTGCACACTGAGTTTCCAACTGCAGAGCACTTTGGAAAAGGCAAAAGTATAGAGGCAGCGAAAAGATCAGTGTTTGCCGGGGGCAGACGGGAGGAAGGCATCCGCAGGTGGAGCTGGGAGGATGTTTAGGGCAGGGACACGACTCTGTGCGACACTATGGTCAGTGGTGGACATGTCATGACATGTTTGCCCAAACCCATAGTAGGTACAGTGCCAAGAGTGAACCCCCATGGAAACTCAGGGTTCTAGAAGACAGAGCGGTGTCCACACAGCTTTATCTGTTGCAACAAAGACACCGCTCTTGATAAAGGACACAGATAGCGGGGGAGGGTGCATGTGTGGGGTGGGGTTATGTGGAGACTGTACCTTCTGCTGAATTTTGCTGTGAACCTAAAATGTCCCTAAAAATAACATTTTTTATTTTTTATTTTGAAATGGAGTCTCGCTCTCTCACCAGGCTGGAGTGCAGTGGCGCAATCTCAGCTCACTGCAACTTCCGCCTCCCAGGTTCAAGCAATTTCTCCTGCTTCAGCCTCCCAAGTAACTGGGACCACAGGCGCATGCCACTAAGCCAAGCTAATTTTTGTCTTTTTAGTAGAGACGGGGTTTTACCATGTTGGCCAGGATGGTCCCGATCTCTTGACCTTGTGATCCGCCCGCCTTGACCTCCCAAAGTGCTGGGATTACAGGAATGAGCCACTGCACCCAGCCAAAAAAAAAAGGCAACTTGACCCAAAGTCAGTCTCGGGAGGCTAGGGGGTGGGGGACAGAATGGGCCAGGCAGGAACCTGTAGAGGCAAGCACAGGCTGAGGTCTCAGGAATACATCTGTGCCTCTGTGGCTTCCCTTCTGGGGACCTTTGCTATCTGGGCTGGCTCCTGGGCCCGGCTTAGGTTTCAGACTCTGCCCCTCCCTGAGATTGGCCAGTCCCTTCTCTCTGTGGCTCCAGGAGTGGAGGTTCAGCCCTTGGAACCGTGGATCAAACCAACCCTGATTTGGGGCCCTAGAGAGGAAGCACGGGGAATCCAGGGTCAGACAGGCAGGACCCCAAGCCCTGCTTCTGCCATGGCTGTCTGTGCGACCCTGGGAGCGACTGTCCATACTGATGAGACAGGGTCATGGCACCCACCTCCAGGGAATGACAGGAGCTGTCACTGTGTTTGTGGTGCCCATGTGCCTTCTAACTTGTTCGCTGACCTGGACCTTTTGCTGGAGGCAGTAAAGGCAGGAGAAAGTGGAGGCCACACCCAGGAGCTTCTGGGGACCGGGGGGGGGGGGGTTGGAGGACAGGGAAATGCAGGACACGCCACTGACCCACGCCTGTTTGCCATTTTTTCCCCATTTAAAAATGTGATTTAAAGGGCCAGGTGCAGTGGCTCACACCTGTAATCCCAGCACTTTGGGAGGCCGAAGTGGGCAGATCACTTGAGGTCAAGACTTCAGGATGGTGAAACCCCACCTCTATGAAAAATACAAAAATTAGCTGGGCATGGTGGCGTGCATCTGTAATCCCAGCTACTCGGGAGGCTGAGGCAAAAGAACTGCTTGAACCAGGAGGTGGAGGTTGTGGTGAGCTGAGACTGTCACTGCTCTCCAACCTGGGTGATAGAGTGAGACTCCATCTCAAATAAAGTTACTTGAATTGTGGTCAAATACACATAATACCAAGTTTATCATCTTGATGATTTTTAAGTGTTCAGCTGTGTGGCATTAAGTATGTTCACACCATTACCATCCATCCCCAGAACTCTTTTTTTTTGGAGACAGAGTCTTGCATGAGCCACCTCGCCCAGCCCAGAACTCTCATCTTGCAAGACTGAAGCTCTGTGGCCTTAAGCACTCACTCCCCAATTCCCCTCCCCCAGGCCCTGGCACACACCATTCTATTGTAACAACCTAACTTGTGCTAGCCTGACTGACTGACCCCATCTTGGCCCCACCCCCACCCCCCACCGTTTCTCCCTCGAGTGCATACCTGGGCCACACTGTGGTGGGTCACGTTGTGCTTAAAACTATAAAAACATAACCATTGTAAACATACCCTGCTTAGCAAGCCCCCTTGCTATTGTGAACACCTCAGTTAATTACATGGAAAGTCCCGAATGCCCCCTGGGTAACCAGCAATCATGGGAACCACTTGTGTGTACCCTCCTCAGTTAATCAATCACGGGAGCTTCCTGCCTCCTAGTTGCCAGCCTCCTCCCTAACTTGCCCATTCTGCTTCTGTAAAATTCTGCTTTGCTCTCTTACGCTAAGCAACATACCAAAGGAAATCAAACCCCTTCCTCGGGACCAAGAGATTGTAAGCGTAAGCAGACTCTTGGTCACCGGCAGTAAAGAGCTCACAATCCAGCTTCAGAGCGTGGCGTTTTCCTGTCCACTCGCTCGGATAGAACATTTGGAGGCCCCAGTGAGATATTTGCCACTGGGTAAGAGGCAGACTTGGGGGAGGTGCCCCCTGAGACATAGCAGGGCCCTGTAGGCCACCCCTTTCCAGAGGAGAGCAGATTGACTCCCAGCACGCTCCACCAAATTTTCCTTCCACGTCCTCGGTCCTGCTCCACGGAGAAGGTAAGCCAGGCCTAACCTGGTTCCTGGAAAGCGCAGGGTCACCAATTAACAGCAGTGACTCCTGTTGTCTGCTTTCTGCCTGGTTTGAGGAATTTCTCCTGTATTCTAGAGTCCCCGGTTCTATTCTGCTGCCTGGTTTGGAGGGGTACTGGCCCTAACAAGGGCACCTCACAGGACTCTGTCAACCCTCCAGAACGCTGGAGGACAGAGTCCCCTGTTCTGTTCTCCTGTCTGGTTTAACAAGAAATTTCTAAAACAAAAAAGGAAATTTCTCCAGGATTCTGACTGGTTTACAACGTGCAAAAACTGCCGTGACCTGTAAGTGAACGTGTGAGTGTGTGAGTGAGCGCAGGGCCTGCCTCTGAGGATCCATCTGTGGCTCCACAGCAAAAGCTCCGGAGTCCAGGTGGGCCCCTCCCTGTGGTTCCGTGGTGACCTCATACGGCTTGACAGTATCCCACTTGTTTGGTACCAGCCTAGCTGGTTCTACTCCAAGCCGGGGGTTTACACCAGCCTGTCTATGTCAAAGGGCACCCAAGTCCCCGTAAGGGGAGCGGCCAGGTGGGCATCTGAGTCATCTATTGAAAAGTCCTTTGTCACTGTGTTTTTGGGCCCGTGTCTTGCCTGTATGTCTGGTCACAGGTTTGGCTCACAACGTCTAGGTAAACATTTCTTTACTGTCCTTGGGAATACATATCAGTCACCTGAGGACCGGGCGCTAATTTGCAGATGAACTTTAATACCCGTTTTGCCTGTTCTGCCGTGACGTGGTCCAGTGTCCTTAAAACTGCCAAAATCCTTTACCTGCCTCGGCGCCTTACCTACCTCGGCGCCTTACCTACCTCGGTGCCTGTTGTCCTGTCTGCTCCTAACGTCTAATTTTGTATGTCCTGTCACTCTTATCGTGCAAAAACGTCTTCAAAACCCTTGCTAGGGACCTCCTCCCACAAGACACTCTCTCCCTCATTTGCCACCTGGGCTGGACTTCCCAGTCCTGTCTGTCAAAAGCAAATCAGGTGTTTTTACAGGGAAAACTGTACAAAACATTCACCAGTCTGGGATTTCTGGCACCACAGAGGTTGTTGGCGCTTAAATTGTCAGACCCCTCACCCCAATGACTGCGCTAGCCTTTCCTTAAATCAGTAAATCCAGAAGAATCATCCTGTTAACCTACTTGCCCACCTTTATTATCATTCCATAACTTTCCCCATTCCCTTAAACAAGGCACTATGCCAGGAGACTTACACCTGTACAGCCCTACTCTGCCTACACCCCCTACACCCCCTACTCCACCTACTCCCCCTACACCTCCACACCCCTTGCTCCGCCTATATCCCCTACACTCCCTAACCCCCCACTCCCCCTACACCCCCACACCCCCTGCTCCACCTATATCTATCCCCTACACTCCCTACCCCCCACTCCCCCTACACAACCACACCCCCTGCTCCGCCTATATCTATCCCCTACACTCCCTACCCCCACTCCCCCTACACCCCCACACCCCCTGCTCCGCCTATATCCCCTACACTCCCTACCCCCCACTCCCCCTACACCCCCACACCCCCTGCTCCACCTATATCTATCCCCTACACTCCCTACCCCCCACTCCCCCTACACCCCCACACCCCCTGCTCCACCTATATCTATCCCCTACACTCCCTACCCCCCACTCCCCCTACACCCCCACACCCCCTGCTCCACCTATATCTATCCCCTACACTCCCTACCCCCCACTCCCCCTACACCCCCACACCCCCTGCTCCACCTATATCCCCTACACTCCCTACCCCCCCACTCCCCCTACACCCCCACACCCCCTGCTCCACCTATATCTATCCCCTACACCCCCACACCCCCTGCTCCGCCTATATCTATCTCCTACACTCCCTACACCCCCACTCCCCCTACACCCCCACACCCCCTGCTCCACCTATATCTATCCCCTACACTCCCTACCCCCCCACTCCCCCTACACCCCCACACCCCCTGCTCCGCCTATATCTATCCCCTACACTCCCTACCCCCCACTCCCCCTACACCCCCACACCTTCTGCTCCGTCTATACCCCCTACAATCCCTACCCCCCACTCCCCCTACACCCCCACACCCCCTGTTCCGCCTATACCCCACACTCCCCACTCCCCACTCCCCCTACACTCCCTACTGCCCTACCCCCCTACTCCCCCTACACCCCCACACCCCCTACTTCACCTATACCCCCTACACTCACTACTCGGCCTACTCCCCTTCAAAAGGCAGCTCTGCCACCTTCTCTCCAGGACTGTCAGTCTTGCTTTCGTGTTGCTCCGTCCACATCCCTTTGCTGGAATCTGACATGTTGACATGTGGTTTTTATAAATAACAACAGTGATGACGTGGGGCAGACCTCCCTTTTGGGACACTTTGGTGAAGTTAAGTTTGCGGGCATTCTCTCTTGTGCAAACTGCAGCAGTAATAGGTGAGAGATATAAAGCAAATAAAGACTGGGCGTGATGGCTCATGCCCGTAATCCCAGCACTTTGGGAGGCTGAGACGGACGCAACACCTTAGGCCAGGAGTTTGAGACTGGCCTGGCCAACATGGCAAAACCCTGTCTCTACTAAAAATACAAAAATTTAGCCAGGTGTGGTGGCACATGCCTGTAGTCCCAGCTACTCAGGAGGCTGAGGCAGGAGAATCACCTGAACCCCGAAGGCTGAGGTTGCAGTGAACTGAGATTGTGCCACTGCACTGCAGCCTGGGTGACAAGAGCAAGACTCCATCTCAGAAAAAAAAAAGAAAGGACTGCTGATCCGTGGTCGATATCCCTGGCTTTATGGGGTGTATACCTCCCCAGTATCTCCAGGACAGGAGCTTGCAAATACCGTAAAACCTGGGGGCCACTGAAAAACTGTAGAAGTCACCCTAGCAAAGGTGATTGGATGAAATAGGTTTTTATGAAAGTTGGATGAGTATTTTTGTAATAAGAGAAAAGGAAGAGCTATCTAATTATCTCTGGAGAATGATACAATCTTGGTGGAAAACTGCAACAAGGGTGTACAAGGCAAGTTCACAACAGGACAGTCTGAACGATGGGTCTTTGTCACAGGGAGGGGGTGCAGGGCAGTGCTAGTGACGGCCTCTGCAGCCAGGCAATCCGGATTGGTATTTCTGCTGCCACTACTCGCCTTCCCTGTGACCTTCGGGAAAATGACTTGCCTTTGCTGCGCCTTAGCTTCCTCATATATAAAGGGGAAATAACCTTTACAACAAGCCTTCTAGGATGAAATGAAATACTTCAAGGAAAGTAACTTAGCAATATCCAAAACACAGAAAACCAAATAGATGTTAGATACTATTAACTTTTAGGAACATGAATTCCAAAATTTTATATAAAATAATATCAAGTTGAATACAGCAATGTCCACTAACACACACACACACACAATAATGCATCATGGTGAATTAGATTGTATTACAGTGAAGCAAGGGCAGGGTCAACATCAGACAATGCACTGCTAGCATCTTTTTGTTTCTTTTTTTTTTTTTTCCTTGAGACAAGGTCTTACTGTCACCCAGGCTGAAATGCAGTGTCAACATCCAGGCTCACTGCAACCTCCACCTCCCTGGCTCAAGTGACCCTCCTCTTCCCCCACAGCCTTCCAAAGTGTTGGGATTACAGGTGTGCGCCACCACACCTGGCCCTATCTTCCTGAATATATAGTAATCATCATAGTTAATGGTAAAATTTTAGAAGCGATTTTCATGAAAGTTAGGATGTAGACAAGGGTAGCTCCTATGACTGTCTCTGTTGAACATGGCCCTGAGGGTCCTATGCAGTGCATTTGGCTGATATGTATTAAAATCGCCATTGCTTTTCTTAGGTTATGAGATGCCAAACGTCAGAAATGTATGTGATCCAACCTGTAATAGAAATAAATGAGCGGAGCAAGATGGCTCATTCCTGGCATCCCAGCACTTTGGGAGGCCGAGGCAGATGGATCACCTGAGATTAGAAGTTCGAGACCAGCCTGGCCAACATGGCGAAACCCCATCTCTACTAAAAATACAAAAATCAGCTGAGTGTGGTGGCAAACACCTGTAGTCCCAGCTACTTGGAGGCTGAGGCAGGAGAATCGCTTGAACCCAGGAGGTGGAGGTTGCAGTGAGGGGACTGCACTCCAGCCTGGGTGACAGAGCGAGACCCTGTCTCGAAATAAATAAATAAATCAGCCAGGCGCAGCGGCTCAGGCCTGTACTCCCAGCACTGTGGGAGGCCGAGGTGGGCAGATCACCTGAGGTCAGAATTTGGAGACCAGCCTGGCCAGCACGGTGATATGCCGTCGCTACTAAAAGGGTGGCTGAGTTTGTACAACTGCACTCCGTCTTGGTGACAGAGCAAGACTCTGCCTCAAAGTAATAAAACTTTTTTTTTTTTTTTTGAGACAGAGTTTTCGCTCTTGTTACCCAGGCTGGAGTGCAATGGCACGATCTCGGCTCACCGCAACCTCCGCCTCCTGGGTTCAGGCAATTCTCCTTCCTCAGCCTCCTGAGTAGCTGGGATTACAGGCACCCGCCACCACGCCCAGCTAATTTTTGTATTTTAGTAGAGACGGGGTTTCACCATGTTGACCAGGATGGTCTGGAATTCCTGATCTCATGATCTGCCCGCCTCAGCCTCCCAAAGTGCTGGGATTACAGGCGTGAGCCACCGCGCCCAGCCTGATCCTTTACTTTTATTTTAAAATGGTAAGTTCCTGGATAGAAGCACAGAACATGTAGCTGTGTTCCATGGGGGACATGTGTTCCGTGGGGGCATGTGTTCCGTGGGGACATGTGTTCCGTGGGGGCATGTGTTCCGTGGGGACATGTGTTCCGTGGGTGACATGTGTTCCGTGGGGGGCATGTGTTCCGTGGGGACATGTGTTCCGTGGGGGCATGTGTTCCGTGGGGGACACTTGACATGTGTTCCGTGGGTGACATGTGTTCCGTGGGGGGCATGTGTTCCGTGGGGGACATGTGTTCCGTGGGTGACATGTGTTCCGTGGGGGGCATGTGTTCCGTGGGGGGCATGTGTTCCGTGGGGGGCATGTGTTCCGTGGGGGGCATGTGTTCCGTGGGGGCATGTGTTCCGTGGGTGACGTGTTCCGTGGGGGCATGTGTTCCGTGGGGGACATGTGTTCCGTGGGGGGCATGTGTTCCGTGGGGGGCACGTGTTCCGTGGGGGACACGTGTTCCGTGGGGGGCATGTGTTCCATGGGGGGCATGTGTTCCGTGGGGGACATGTGTTCCATGGTGGTTTGCTGCACTATCCACCCGTCGTCTAGGTTTTAAGTCCCTCATGCATTAGCTGTTTGCCCTAATCATTTTTTTAAAATTCTCTGAATACTGGCAGTTGGCTCAAGCCCACCAGATTTAGGTCCTGAGTGAGGCTGGCGGCAAGCCTGTACCTTTATTTTTAAATTTATTTATTTCATTTTTTAAAGAGATACGGTCTTGTTCTGTCACCCAGGCTAGAGTGCAAGTGGCATGATCATAGCTCACTGCAGACCTGAACTGCTGGGCTCAAGTGAGCCTCCCGCTTCAGCTCCCAAAGCATCGGGATTATGGGTGGGAGCCCCTGTTCCCGGCCAGAGACCTGTACCTTTCATCCTGGGGACTGTGGACATCAGCCACTCACTCCCGAGTGCTGGGATGGGGTTTAATTTCCAGTGACTGGCCCAGAGCCTGCCCACGGGTAGATCTCAAGGGAGGCTGTGGAAGGAACAGCATGCAACTTGCCCACCCGCACACATTCACAGATAGGGGTGTGGGCTGGAGGAGGTGGGGGGCTGTGTGGATCAGCTTCAGGCACAGCTGTCTGGTTTCCTATGGGATGTGACCACGTAACAGTCAGGTAAGAAGATGACTGAATTTATCTTCTTGGAATCATTGCTTCGTAATTGTTGCTTCCCACCATTGGCACTGGAGAAAGGCTGGGCCACAGGAGGCTGGATGAACTTTGTGCTGGCCAGGTACGCAGAATGTCCATCCAGCTGGAAAGTAAGCAGTGAAGGTATGCTCAGACGAGGTGGCGCGTGCCTGTAATCCCACCTGCTTGGGAAGCTGAGACAGGAGAATCGCTTGAACCTGGGAGGCAGAGGCTGCAGTGAACTGAGATCATGCCACTGAACTCCAGTGTAGGTAACAGAGCAAGACTTCATCTCAAACACACACACACACACACACACAGCTGTGCGTGCTGGCTCCTGCCTGTAATCCCAGCACTTTGGGAGGCTG